TGTCAAATACAACACTACGGATGAAAAAGAAGAAGAAGCTGAATTTGTTTTGCACAACAAATGAGTAGAGGAGCACATCATCATCCCCAACAACATACATATGAACGACAAGAGAGCGACATCAGCAAGTGGGAGAGATTTCTCTCTCTAGAGGAGACCCCCCAACAAAAACAAAAAAAGAAAGAAAGCATTTCAATTGTGACAGGTCTTTCGTTCGTTGTGTTGATAAGAAGTTACTATGAGAGAGAAGATTGTACGGACGGATGAGAGGGAGCCGTCAAGGGAATAGAGTTTGTTTTTGTGCGGAGTGCTGCTGGAGGGGAGGAATTAGTAAAGAGCACACACAACATACCAAGAAATACAAATTGTGGAAAAATGTATAAAAGAGCTGGCCAAGCACAAATGGAATTCTGACAGCAGTAGTGGCAAGCCAAGTCATTAGTCGTTATTTTACTTGTGTTCGGCGGAGTCGTAGTTGAGTAGTAGTGAGCGGCTGAAGAAGCAACTATTCGTGCGTTCGTTCCTCTGTGTATGGGCAATAATTCTGACATTTTGTTTTTAATTTTGTGTGGTGAGGAGTTCACTCTTCTTTAGACGTCCCCCCGCCGCTCTACGTTTAGTCGCCAGTTTAGTTTATAATCAACTTCAATGCCCTTTGACGACGGTTGTCTTTTTTTGCGGTGCGAGCATCATTGTTGATGACAATTCTTGTGTGAAGAAGAAGAAGCAGCAAAATGCAAGTGTAATAAAAGCATATATTAAACAAAACAAAAATAAAATATAACAGCAGCAAAAGAGAAAAAACAAGTGAAACCCTAATTGGAGAAAGGTGTTTGCTGTTCCATTAATAATAATAAAAAACAACAACAACGTCAACATCAACCAAACAAAAATAAAAAATATAAAGAAAACATACAAACAAACTAAACTTTATACTATATAAACAAAAGCAACAGCATCGAAAAGAAACAAGAATCTCCAAAATAATTCAACAAATCAAACAATCATTTTTTTTTAACCGGGCCATCAACACATTTATCCAACAGATGTTTTTTTGTATTTATTAACAACAAATAACCAAATTGAACTGTCACTGGACCAGTAGTGCTGTAGTACGACAAAATATTTCCCATCAAAAAATATTGTTCGGAATTTTGTAAATTCAACGAAGAAAAAAAAAACGGCAGAACATTTATTGTTTTGTATGTAAAGCGTGTTAGATATAGCGTGTTTGTGTTTGTTCGTGTGTATGCTGCTGGCTGTGTATAATTTACATACATATATACCCGTCGTCGTCTGAGATCATTCATTACTTGGCTTGCTGTGTTACTAGAATAGCTGCGAGAGGGATTATCAAAGAAAGGAGGGAACGTGGCAGTTTTTTTTTGTACCAATCGACTACAAAACACCACCAGAAACTTTTAAATCTTTTTTTGTTTTAAATTTACACATATAAAGATAAAGGTAATTATAATAATGGGTATTAAATGCAAAAAAATACATTTACCTCCCTCTCTTCCTCTCCAACATAAGGAGGGAAACTCATTAAAAACTTTTCAAAAAAAAAATAATAAGTGAATTGTAGTATGCGGAAACAACAACAACGATAGCAAAAGTGTTTGTTGTGTTTCCTCCTTTCATGGTCATAGATTGGTTGCATTTTTTGTTTATTTATTTTGTGTGCGCGCGGGGTATATTATTCTATGTGATATTCCATCATATATAAAACTCTTAACACCAACTGTATTTAAACAACCCAAACACAGCAAAAACTTGCCGATTATTTTATTTTTTGTGTGAAACCAGCAGCATAGCTTGGAATCTTAATGAATTTAGTTGTTGTTGTTGTTTCTTAGATCCCCCATTTTCTTTTATTATTTTTTCTTATATTTGTATTGCCTATTGTTTTATTGCGTACTATTTGTTCAATGTCTTCTTTATCAATTTCTAGAGTAAAACATGGGACTCGATGAGAATCAATTCTTTCCAGAATTATTTTAAACTTTAAAATTCTAAACTATGCTGTCTGGGATTTGCTAGATTTTATTTAAATTGCGATAGAAGGCTAAAATTATACAAAACTATGTTTGTTTTTCAGCGGAAGGCCTAAAGACAATAAAATTTCAATATATACAGAAGCTTCACAAAAGAGGTTTTGCTAGAAAATTTCAATTTTTTTCGAATGGGCCCTTACAAAAATAACAATCGATGTCTTTGGACCTTCATGTATTTGGACCCCTTTAAAAGTCGAAAACGACCAATTATCAGAATTTGTTGATTTAAATTATTATACCCTTCACCACACTGTAGTAGAGGATATTATGTCTTTGTGCATATGTTTGTAACAGCAAAAGGAGACCTGAGTTGATTTATGCATGTCCGTCCGTCTGTCCATGTATTTTTGTGAACAAAGTGCAGTTTGCATTTATAATCCGATTTGAATGAAAATTGGCACAGCTCATTTATTTGGCCCCAGAACGAACCCTATTGAAATTGGGAAAAATCGGTTCAAATTTAGATATAGCCCCCAGGTAAGGTAAATGGTGCACCAACGTCCCTATACATATATCTTTCGGCTTGCACGAAATTTGACATAGCGTACTGAATTAAGACTAGAATGACGTACGTGATGTTTCGTGAAAATCAGTTCAGATTTAGATATAGCTCCCATATATATGTTCGTCCGATTTAAGGAAAAGGCATTGCGTACTGAATTGAGTCTATAATGATGTGTTTTAAGTTTCGTGAAAATCGGTTCAGATTTAAATATAACTCCCATATATATATTCGTCCGATTTAATAGAAATTGCGCACCAAAGTTCTTATATATCTTTCGTTCAAGTTCAATGTTATTTCGAATAGGCGACATCTGTTAGGAGACTATGTTAAATATACCCAAAGTGATGAAGGGTATCATATAGACGGCCCAGTTCGACTTTGCTATTTTCCATATTTGTTTGAATGAATTTGACGATTTGTAGGATGTTAATTATCTTCAATAATGCAAATCGAAGGAACTCAAATTAATTCAAAATATGGTGTATGATTTACAAATACTAAAGATCAAGGATTCTCTCATGATTATTTAATATATTATTTATTTGTTGGAGATATGGTCACAAAATCGATTAATAATTTCAGAAGTAAATTAATTTAAATTCATATCCGATTTCAAAGGAGTAAGAGATTCTGACTCTGACAATGAAAGCCACTTCACATATGGCGAAGAACTAATATTCGGTCCGAGTCATTCATTTTATTAATTCTGAATATGGTGATTATAAATATCAAGCTGCGATGAAGGTGGAATATATGAACAAGTGACGAAAAATTTAAATTTACCCAATTCAATGGATATGCCGACAAATTCTATATCAGTTAAATGATTTACATAAGTTAGTGGAGAAATATTTGGCATCAACTGCGTCCTGATCGCACTAATCCGATCTTTTTTAAATATTTGATATTTTGAACTTAGAATTTCATTATTAAGCAAGCAGAGATGTTTGAAGCTAAGTTTCAGAAAATACTATAATATTATAATCAAAACCAAGGTTTTCAGTATATAAACGAATTAAATTTACATTCTAATAGCAAATAGTAAGAAGAAATCCCGTTACTAATGGTCTTTGGGAAGATTGTGGAATTATACCAGTTGAAGCCACGGAAGCAGCCACTGAAGACGCATTAGATAAAGGAAGTGATAACTATTGTATTCCATGAGTAGTTTTCTCCAGCCTGGGGATAGCAGCACTCATAGTTTTAGGGTCTTTTCGAACGTTCGTTCGTATTTTAAAATGTTTAGGTATCGACCTTTAGAGCCTAAATCTACAATCCCCTTTATATTTAAACATGACAATTTGGAAATGTCATTGATCTTACGTGCACTAAGCTGAAATTGCCAAAACTGTTCGAAATAATAAATTTAAAAAAAAAACATGCATTTTTAAATCCAAAAACAAACAACAATGTCCTTTAGGCAGCAGCAAACTAACAATATTAAAAATTCATTAGGTCAACGTTAATTAAAACATAAAAGATGTATATAAATTATTGTATAAATTTATTTATATACATATTTGAATATATATCAACAACAAAAAGTCCCGTGATAAAACATTATGTGTCATATTAAGGCATTTATTAGCCGTCTTCCCGGAAAAGCAATAAAATTATAAATTTACAATAATAAAACATTTAAATTTAATTAGCGATTTAAATAAATTAGAGACGATAACATCCATCAATATCTGATTAAATCACGCGCCATTATGTTGAGTGGTATGGGGTTAGTGGTAATAAAATATTGTGATTTTTAAAAAAGGGGACAAATGGACCTTTACATGAATTTTAATAAAATGCAATTTTGGAAACATTTCCTATACTAAAATCACAAGTTGACAACTTAATACACTTCTCACTGAAGAACTGAAGGTATTTTTTTCATAGTTGAACTACAGGTTGTCCACAATAAATTTTAAGCATTTTTTGAGAATATTTTTTTTCATAACAATGCAGTAGTCATATTCTTAAAAAAAAGCTCTTAAACATCTTGTAAAAAAATCGATTTTTTTTAAGAAAAGATTTTGGTCCTTCTGAAGTTGGTAAATATAAAATTTTCTGGAATATGAGCTATTAATCGTCATGAAAATCAGTTGTAGTTCTTCATGAAAAGGGTCGTGTGGTCTTCTTGAGTAACTGCTACTACTTTTCTTATGAAACTGTATGGATCCTCTTCTCCAGGCATTATTTTCATAAAAAAAAGCTAAAATTATCTATTTTTGAGGCTCTTTAATAGAGAGTTTTAACCTCCTCCCTAAAGTTTAACATTCATGGATTATATAAATACATATACACATTTAAAATTATTTATAAAAAAATAATTTGTTGACAAATTTACGAAAGAAACTAAAACTTTTTTCTCTTTTTTGCTTTCAGAACTCGAAACCACCGAAAAAAATAAATAAAAATTAAATTAAAAAAAAAAAAAAAAACAAAATAAATCACCAACATGCTACCAAATTACGGTCCAGTAACACAAGCCCTTTTGGGCACCCTCCTAACATGGGGCCTCACAGCTTTGGGTGCATCATGTGTGGTCTTTGTACGCGGTAATCAACGCAAATCTTTAGATGCCGCCTTAGGTTTTGCTGCCGGTGTTATGGTGGCCGCCGCTTTCTGGTCTCTCCTTAAGCCGGCAATTGAAATGGCAGAAACCTCAAATCTGTATGGCGTCTATGCTTTCCTACCGGTATCGGGTGGTTTCCTATTGGGTGCCATCTTTGTTTATGGTTGTGATAAATTAATGTCTTATCTCGGTTTGAATTCAAACGATATGATGTTGCAAATGACTCAAACAAAGGATAAAGCCGATATTGCCATCGATGATAAGAAAAATGGTCATGGAAGCGGCATGGAAGCAGCCAAAAGTATGGATAGCTTCTCCGATTGTCTGAGTGTACAGCATAGCCATTCGGAGCCGAGACGCCGCAAGAAGCCTAGCGTTGATATTGAACGTACAAATACTACATATGTAACAGATGCCGAAAAGGCCGCCCAACAGGCGGCTGGTGCCCAATGGAAGCGTATTATGTTGCTGGTTGTGGCCATCACTGTACACAACATACCCGAAGGTTTGGCCGTGGGTGTTAGTTTCGGTGCTGTGGGACAAAATAATGCCTCAACGTTCGAAGCTGCCCGTAATTTGGCCATTGGTATTGGTATACAAAATTTCCCCGAAGGTTTGGCTGTCAGTCTGCCCTTACATGCGGCCGGATTTAGTGTATTGCGTGCCTTATGGTATGGTCAGCTGTCAGGTATGGTCGAGCCCATTTTCGGTATATTGGGTGCAGTGGCTGTGACATTTGCCAATTTGATTTTACCCTATGCTTTGTCATTTGCTGCCGGTGCCATGATCTATATTGTTGCGGATGATATCTTGCCCGAGGCTCATGCCAGCGGTAATGGTAGCATTGCCACCTGGGGTACAATTGCCGGTTTCCTAATTATGATGTGTTTGGAAGTAACACTATCGTGATGTCTTTACAACTACTACGGTCGTCGTCGTCACTTAAATTACTGTTGTCGTCGTGTTGGTCGTTTCTATTGTTATAATTGTTGTTGTGAATCGGATGTGACGGAACAAGCTATTGCAGCAGTCAACGATGGCTTATTAGCAATTCCTAGAAAAGTTTTGCCTTTTGAAACTTTTCATCATTATGCAAAAATTATTTTATTATGCTATAATATTTAATTCATTATTTAAAAAAAGAAACTTTTATTTAAATATAGACGTAAATACAAATGATAAATGAAAAAGAACAACTAAAAAAAAAACCCAAAAAAGTAAAAAAAAAAATAATAAAAATTATGTGGAAATTGTATATCCATTTGTTTTTAGAAAACACATTCCCCTTTTATACAAAAAAAAAAAAAAAAAAACAAAAAAAAACAAAAAAAAGTGCCCAAATCAAGCATGGCTACTGTAAAGCTTAGTAAGAATTCCAAGCTAGATATAAAAACTAACAGAAGATTTTATTTGTTCCATAGTTAAAATATTTGTTCTCTAGTTCTGTCCCGCATACATAAGACGATTTTAAAAACAAATCAAATTTATAAAATTGTAAATAATTTATACAAACAAATTTAAAAAAAATCCAATGCAAAAAAAAAACAAAAAAAAATTGCTACTTTTCTTTACAAAACCAACCAAATTCATTCTAAAAAAATAATTAATAGAAAAATTATCCCGCTATATGTACTTATATTTCCACAATTTTTTTATAATGTCCCTTTATAGCTTGATTTTATTTTATTTTCCCTCTTAACTGTCAGCAGTATAAACAAAAAGTTAGCTTTCTTTTAAGATATTTTTTAATTGTTTTATTATTTTAAGGCTATTAACAGATAAAAACTCTATTATAAGCAAGAGACTTGTAATCCAAGTAATTGTAAATAATGATGATTAAGACTATATATTACATAAATGGATCACAACAAAAAAAGAACAAGCAAAATAAAAAATAAAAAAAAAATAAACAATAAAAAATGAAATAAAATAGATTTTAAAAATCTATTTTAGAAAAATTCTATATAATTAAAACAAAGAAAAAAATGTATTTTTATTTAACGTTAAACATTTTTTCTCAACAGTTTTCGAATAAAGGAATCTCTGTGTTACTTTCTGAAGACGAAATGGCAATCATCGCGGGAAATAGAGACACAAATGAGTTACAAAGAAGTACATTGGGACTTGTAGGGATTTATTTATTTATTTCATGATGAAATATATGGCCACACACGTACACTTTAATGTCCAGGTTGATGGGTTTTCAATTATTACTCCTAAACCAAGAGGTCCGATATCACAATCGATATAATAGATAGAACTCCATAGCCTAAAATAATTGTATTTCCAATGATTTTTTGGATGAGAAATTAAAAAATCGCTTTTACAAACATAAATTTAATGTGAAAAAACAATTTCGGTGCAAACAACCTTTTTTCGGAAAACTATGTATAACCCGCCTAACTCAAAAAACAATCAAAGGCCGTGAAACGGATGTCCAAAGGTTCCACCTGACGAACTAGTTACAATGATTGTCCCTCAAAGGGGGGCCATTAGTAAAAAGCCATTTTGTTGTCAGTTGGTCGATGCCCGAACTGCAGGGAGTGAGTCGTAACTCCAAGGGCAAGACAGGAGAAGTATTTTTGGGGAGGAACAAGGATTACGATTGGGAGAACTATATTGTCGTCTTTGATATTATGAAATTTGTAAACTATAAACTGCAGATAGGGTTTTCGGTTTCAAGTCGATTTATACATGTCCGTCAGTCCGTCCATCTGTAGATGTTAAATTGTAAACAAAGTACAGGTCGCATTTATAATCCGATTTGGATGGAGTTTGGCACAAGTCACTTATTTGACCCAAGGACGAACAATATTGAAATTGGGAAAAATCGGTTCAGATATAGATATAGCTCCCATATATATATTTCCGTCCGATTTTATGTTAATGGAGCACCAAAGCCCCCATATATCCTTCGATTTGCACGAAATTTGGCATAGCGTACTGAATTATGTATAGAATGATGTGTGTTAAGTTTCATGAAAACTGGTGAAGATTTAGATATAGCTCCCATATATATTTTCATCCGATTTCGTGTAAATGGTGCACACAAAGATAGGCCGATAAATACAAAATTTTGCACAACTTACTGAAGTTATGATAACCTAACGTGTGTAAAGTTTTGTTGAAATTGGTTCAGTTTTGGATAGAGCTCCTATATATATTTTCTCCCAATTTTAAGTAAATGATGCACTAAGATCTCAAAATGTGGCCGATATGCACAAAAAATACTGAAGTTAGTATAACCTAACTTGATAGAGAGGAAGAGCGTTTTAAATCAAACAAGCCAATAGATTTTAAATCAAAATTTTATACGATTTTCGTTATATGTTCAAACTATGGAAATCTGCTATACAACATCTAAAAACATATTTACCAACTAGTGGGTGTGACCAATCTTTAGAGCATTTGAAAATTAGTGTGATAACAAAACTATAAAAAAAAACTTATCGCTCTTGATTATAAATCAAAGAAGGGGAAAATAGTTAGTCATATAAAACGAATTAAAGCTAATTTTTTTTATTAGAGTAAAAAACAAATTTTGAACAAAAAATATGAATGAAATAATAAATATGATTTATAAAACATATTTTATATGGCAAATAAAAAATATGGTATTAAAAGCTGTTTTAAATCATAAATAAATATGATTTATAAAAATACATTTTAAGCAATAAAAAACAAATTTAAAACTATATACAATTTAAAAAGCATTTAAAATTTTTATAGCACCCAGAAAGGAAAGAAAGCATAAATTATCATTATGCGACTGTTAGTCTACATGTACGAACGCTAGCCAGACGTGCAGCCACAGCAAGCAACCAGCCTGCCTGCCTATCTTCCTTAACAATGGTATTGAAATAGCCGGTATCATAAATTTATACAATAAGCCCATGTAGCTTAGATCATGTCTTGTATTAATATATGAAAAAAAATTAAATATAAACGAAAACACAAGGTATGCAGAAAACAATCCAAATAATCTAGATTTTGAAGATAATAATCAAGAATCATCACAAATCTAGCAAAATACAACAGACACTGCATAGAAAGATGAAAAAAAGAAAAAAAATAGCAAAATATAGCTGTCTAAATCTGCACGTATATTTATGTTATTATCATCCTGTATATAGCCGCGTTGTGTGTTGTGTCGTGTGTAAACTTGTTATGAATGGCGATATGAATGACGCCAACCCAAGATGCCCTTTGATATGGCATACATTCATAATTTTATACAAAATACTGGGTCTGATAGATGTTCAGACTTGGATTTTTATCACGTATTCTTGGGAGTAGCTATAGCTTTGTTTTTGTTGTTTTGTTTTTATCACAAAGTGTAAATAAGTTATCACCACATTTCTTGTGCTGCTCTGCTCTGTAGTTGTTTTGTTTAATTTGATAAAGATACCGGCATAAATAGTAACAACAATTGCATTCGCATGTTGTTGTTGGTTCATATGTATATATTTGGTTCCTAAAATGTCTAGTAGCTGTTTACAAGCTATCGACCATGTATCAATTATTTTTGGAGGTAATATGTGAAATTGGAGATCAATCAGCAATACAATCAGTAGGTGTTCAATAAGCAAACTCTCTGTACAAAAATCTAATAATTTTTCTTCGGTTACAACCAAGACAGGGCTGAAATCAGGCTGGTTGTTGTTGTAACAGTTTGGCTGTCTCGTTTTCCCTGAAATAGTTTAATAATGTTAGCTTTTTATTTTAAACATGTGTCTACTATTGGTTTGTGGATGGATACGGCTGTTGGATGCGGGTTTGAATTTCGATGAAGTGTACATTTCAATTTTTTTTAATGTAAAATTTATTTATTTTTTCATGAATGGGAACCTAGCCACAAGGCCATGATCGGTTCCAAAAACCACTATACATCTATTTCTCAAAAATCTTAAACCTAACAATAGATTTATCTTAACATAAAATCATAAAAAAAAAAATAAGTATAAATAATTAATTTAAATTTATATATATGGTGGATGCGGAAATTTGTAGATGTTTTATGGGTTTATGTGTCGAGTGATGGGATTAATGGGAAGAGTTGTGTAGTTGTAAAATGTTAGGTTGGGAGCTGCAAAAAAAATTCGCCACTTCTACTGGCCTCCGTGGGCTGAACTAAACAGCAAAACAAAATAAATGGCCTGTATCATGCGGCCCCTGCCTACAATTGGGACAAATGTCTTCGATCATGCTGACCGCCGCTGGAGGTTGACAGTTAGGTATACGATAAGGGATAAGTAATTGAGCGTAAAAGTCGACTTTTAGATTTTTGCCTTTGACTAAAAAGTCGACTATTCGATCTTTAGATTTTGTCAAACCAGTTCAATATCGATTTTAGACTTTTAACGACTAATGCAAAATCGACTAAAATTTTTATTTTTTTATATGAATTGTTGTCAACAGATCCAAAAAGTTACGGAATTTGTAATTTTTAGGCAATTTGGGCTCGATCTGGAAAAGTCGACTTTTCGATTTCTTTAAAGATCAAACAAAAGTCGGCCCTGCCTACAACTGGGACAAATGTCTTCGATCCCGGCGACTGTCGCTTGATACACATACAGAGGATGACTGATCATCCTGACCGTATCTGAGCTAAGATAGTTCTGGCTCTTCTGGGCATGGTCTTCTCAGCTTCGGCTACCGCTATACGTTGACAGAGTATAGACTTTTCGATTTTTGCCTTTGACCAAAAAGTCGATTTTAGACTTTTCGAATTTTGCCTTTGGCTAAAAAGTCGTCTTTTCGATCTTTAGATTTTGTCAAACAAGTTTAAAACCGATTTTCGACTTTTAACAACTCATGAAAAATCGACTAAAATGTAAATTTTTTTATATGAATTATTTGGTCTGTTCCCGTACTGCAAGAATCTACTCGATTTTACTATTTTCTTCGATTTCATAAAGGAAAAT